CGGCTGAGGTCATTTTGACACAGGTATGTTTATATGGTTGTTTTTTTACATTTAGATCAAAACCTTGTTTATAATAAAACAGATTTTTATTTAGAAATGGCAGCAGACTAGAGCGACTGTTTCTGTCTTTTTTTCGAATGAACTTACAATAATGATGTAAATTTATGAATATTGACAGGTTAAAAATGTCATCTGTCCTGATCTGATAAAAGTTATTGACAAGCTTGATAAAAGTTATTGACAAGCCTGTTAACTCATTCACCACTGAAGACGCATTTGAACTCCTCAAATTCAAAGGTTGGAAAAGCTCATAATGAAATTTCAGGGGTGAATGAGTTAACATTGACTTTAGTTATTCACTTGAAGAATTATTTTACTTTGTTATCAATAATTGTTATAATTGTCTTGTTATGAGGTTTACTAACATAATTGTTTAATCTAAAAACGTGAGATAAACACATATGTCATTATGAGGTCACATGTGAAGTATTGCATATGTACAGGTATAGAAATGTAATACGGCATATACTTTGTATTGTAATTAATTATCACTTATATACATATGGTAGGTATTAGGTTTTGTTATACATGTGTTGTATTTGCATATGTTGTCTGGTGTGAAAGATGGTGTAAGGATCTTTAATGAATCTGCTTGTGTATGTGACATGTACTTACCTGTGTGTGCATGTGAGTGAGTGAGTGAGTTGTTATGACACCTGACTAAGGACAGGCCATATGATTGGTCAGGACGGATGCCTCAGTTTACCTGTGTAAAGGCATTGGCCAACTTGGGCACTCTGCTCATGACCAGCTGAGATGAAACATACATTTTGTAGTTTGAATTTGGGGAAAAATTATCAAAAGTCTTCAGCTGGTTAGTTTTTACTCTATTTGTTTAATAGCTTTTTGTTCATCTAGTATAACAGAAAATGTAGGGAATATACCATTTTTTTGTAATTCAATTGTGGCTATGTAATTTTATCTTTTTCTATCTAAAAGTAATTGACATTTTGTCATTGAACAATTTCAAGGTCAAAGTGAAATTGAGTATGTAAAGATACAAGTCTTTTTGTTAATTTACCTTTCTATGAATTGGTATCAAATTCATAATGGTCAAATTATTTATTAGGGATATTTATATTATTTTAGTGTTAAGCTCTTGGTTGGACTTAACTGACTTAATAGAGAAGAATTGAGGGAAACCTCCACACCATAGCTGTGAGGTGAGTGTTCAATAGGTCTAGAATGTTTTAATGTGTATATATTACTATGTTTTTATATATAGAATGTATCTGGAATTTTAACGGTGTGCTTGAGTAATTGGCAATAGTAAAAGTATAGGTTTTATAGTAATGATATTTATGTAATTGTTTAAAGAACGAATTTATAACCTTTTGGAAAAGATAACTGAATAAATACATTCAAGTTACAGATTTAGAAATTAGTAGATTAATAAATACCATTGTATATATGTACATTTGATCGGTTAAAATAGGTATATGTTGTATAATAGCATTTGTCAATAGAGTTATTTCCCTTTTACTATGTTATGTATGCAAGTATGTGAGGTATGTTTGGTTGCATGTTGTATTTGTTTGGTCAACAGGGTTTTTAAGAGTGGAATAAATATATCCAAAGTATACCCAGATCCTGGTTGTGATTGTGAACCCCGGTAACAGAAATCTTGTTCTTGTCTCGTGTGTAATAATAGCAGTCTGCATTGTCTAATGGGAGTTTGTATAGAATAAATACGATTAGGGAAAAAATATCTTTAGGAAATCAGAAGTGTTCAGTCATCGATCAACTTTTAAATGGGAAAAGTTGTTGACCAACAATTAAGGTAAAGTATCGCAATCGCAAGACAACCTTAGCCTAACACCTATCAACAGACTTGAACAGGAGGTATGAACGAAGGGACATAACTCTGTATAGAGCGTTGCAAGACGACCCAATTTCAGTACGCCTCAGTCTGCCATCCAAGGAAGTACTCGCATACCAAATTTGGAACCCATAAATGGGAGAATATATCAGGTATAGAACAGTCACAGATGCTTAGTGAACAAAGGGCCTTAACTTGTTATATAGCTGGGCACAAGACCTGGGCCGTTTTCGTTTAAAAGGTTGAACCGGTTGGACCACAATTGTTCGTTTATTAGATAAGGTCAGACCTAGTCATCTGATGCTGCTTTCAGGCAAGCCTTGACAAAGCCTTGCAAGGCCTGCATAAAACATTTGCAGGTCCGCCAGGATTTATACCTGAAAAATGTTACATTTAAAGACGGTCAAACTGGTTGTACCGCATAAACAAACAGGCCCCTGATTACAGTTTGTTAGACTCCGAAATCAAGTGGTACTCAAATGCATATTGTAGGTGACGAAGAAACAATGACATGCCCTGTACGAAGTGACACACAGAATGTAAACCTTTTATGTTATTGCCCTTTCCAGTCTTACAGATTGGGGAACTAATAACAATATTTTTTAAACTTGGGAGGCATTGTAGTTCTTTAACCGACAGATCAATACTTAAAACATCGGATTTGATTACAGAACGTTACATATTTCAAAGGAACACAGGATGATATACAGACAAGAGGCCCAAGGGCCTTAGCGGTCACCTGAGTTATATCATAGGTACTGGTAGCTTTATCTTATTGTTTAGATGTGATGTGGAAATCAGCATGTAAACTAAGTGAAATACAATACTTGTCATGTCATCAAAGGATAGTAATTTGAAAATATTGGTAAATATTCCCTTTGGGGCCCCGCCCTAGCCCCTGGGAATCGGGCAGAAATCCTAATTTTTCAATGTAATACCCTCATTCACCAAAGATGATTCTTACAAAGTTTGAGTAATTTTCTGCTGAGATAGATAAAATATACCCATAAGTGTTATTTCCCTATATAAACTATAGTAAACTTTACCCCCTCCCCAAGGGAGAACGGATAGCTCGGGGGTTATTACAATTTAAATAAAGCAGAAGATTTTTAAAATATTGGTCAATTTTCCCCTTGGGGCCCCGCCCTGGCCCCTAGGGTTGGTGTAGGAATTTTTACAATTTTGTATCCTCATCTACCAAGGATGATTCTGACAGGAGTTTGAAAAAAAATCATTGACTGGTTCTTGAGAAGAAGTTGAAAATGTAAAAGGTTTACGCAACGACGGACGGAAAGCGATTAGAATAGGTCACTTGAGCAAAGCTCAGGTGACCTAAAAATAGCCTTAGCAAACACTCAAGTCAAGGTTCTGCAGAAAGAGGATATTGGAGAATATTTTTTTATCAAAAGTGGATAAAGCCAGATTATTTCCTGATGAAAGAATTATGGGCGACTGCGTCCCCTACTAACTGCTGAAGTCAAACGTAGACACCTTTCACCACAACAACTGTCATGTTCTTAGTAGCAGAATAATTAACCAGTCAAGAAGCTCGGGTCTGCTAACAGTAGGGTATGCGCATGCCTACCCTACACCAGCGGGGATATTTCTGTAGACATGTATGGAGAACTGACGGAACCAGTAAAATGTGCAGAAAATGGTACGGATGCTGTTTGTTTTGGTTGCGTGTATAATCATGCAAAAGTTCGGACTTGTGAAAGAGGGAGGTAATTCACTGTATTTAGCCGGGGAGTTGAGGCGGCTTTGACTGAAACATTGTTGTGGACTATGTTACATTAATCAGTCTCCAGGAAACCTTTTAAATTCCACAAAATATTGTGAACTGTATATATCCAAGCGAAATGCATGTCCCTGCACAAATTGCTTCACAAAAAAAACAAATTTCATAACACATTTTTGTGAATACAAAGGATATAAACGATTGAGCTTCATTATCTGGATTCCGTAAGTCAAGCCATAGGAATCCAGATGTTGAGGTTCCATTGTTTATATCCTTTGTATTCACCTTCCGTGATGGGGCTCTACTGAATACTGTTTGACATCCATCTTCGATTCCTACAACAACCGATCTACGACCGAAGACAACCAGGATGTTGGTTTTCTCCCACTCCGTTAGGAGTCCCTTTTTTAATTTTGTGAAGATAAAATGTGGAATTAAAGGGATTTTGATACAACAGTTACAAAATAAGGATTGCAAGTTGATATCGGACACTAAATACATAAAACTGCAGTCAAATCCCAATTCTCTGGAAATTTACGCATTCCTTGCAACATAAAAAATCTCCGCCCACAAATGCTTACAGGTGTGACTTTACTTCAAAATTCCAGGTACAAGAAATTTTCAGGTATGGCAAGACAACAGGTAAAATTCACTCCTAGTTATGGCAAGACTACAGGTAAAATTTACTCCTAGTTATGGCAAGACTACAGGTAAAATTTACTCCCAGGTATGGCAAGACAACATGTAAAGTTCACTCTTAGTTATGGCAATACAACAGGTAAAACTCACTCCTAGTTATGGCAAGACTCCAGGTAAAATTTACTTCCAGGTATGGCAAGACTACAGGTAAAATTTACTCCCAGGTTTGGCAAGACTACAGGTAAAATTAACTCCCAGGTATGGCAAGACTACAGGTAACATTTACTCCCAGGTATGGCAAGACAACAGGTAAAATGTATTCCCAGGTATGGCAAGACTACAGGTAAAATGTACTCCCAGGTATGGCAAGACTTCAGATAAAATTCACTCTCGGGTATGGCAAGACTACAGGTAAAATTCACTCCCAGGTATGGCAAGACTACAGGTAAAATTCACTCCCAGGTATGGCAAGACTACAGGTAAAATTTACTCCCAGGTATAGCAAGACTACAGGTAAAATTCACTCCCAGGTATGGCAAGACTACAGGTAAAATTCACTCCCAGGTATGGCAAGACTACAGGTAAAATTCATCCTCAGGTAATTTCTCTCCAGTGTGACAAGAATGCAGGTACAATTTATTCTCGAATGTGACAGTTTAAAGGTTGAATTCTCACAGGCATGACATGATTACAGGTAAAATTTCCTCATCGGTATTATGTTAGAAAATTACAGGTAAAACTTACCATCAGGTGTGACGAGAGGTGAGTAATACTCGTTATCCTCGCCTGACATGACTCCTTGCTCGGAGTCACCGATTAGTCTGCTCCTCTCAGACGCATAGTGATGGTCACGGTTGACTGAGGAAATGAGAAAATATTCACATTGAAGTAATCAAATTAAATACACAAATACCAAGTATTCTGTCTAAACCAAACCCTGTGTAATCCTAAAAACCTGCATACACAAGACCTACAAATTTTAGTCCCATTAAATACATTTTATGCCTTCTGTACCTGTGTAATCAGAAAAACTGTATTAATCAGACATTTAACCAGGTCTCCTAGAACAAATTTAAATGCTAACTGACATACAAATATATATAATCAGAAAAGCTGTATAAAAACAGACTTTCATCTTGATCTTAACTCATTCACCTCTGAAGACGCATTTAAACTCCTCCAATTCGAAGGTTGGAAAAGCTCATAATGAAATTTCAGGTGTGAATGAGTTAATGTACATATTTGCATGTTTATTTAACCTGTGTTATCAGAAAACCTGTACAAACCAGATCTTCACCTAGATCCCCTTTTTCATAATACCTGTATAATCTGGAAATGTGTATTTTCAGAATGGTGGTATCCTGTTCAGAGAGGTTTCAGTGTACCGAGGTTGTCATTTTATAAATAGAATTATTATAATTACAATGTTTGTCAATAAAATTATATCTTAAAAGCAAACGTCTTTGTTCTCTTCTTATTTTTTTGCTTTTGAACTTGTTTAAAATATCTGCCATAAAAGTTACAGAATTTTTCAAAATTTGCAAAACCTTGGAACCATGACCCAAACTACCTTAAGCTTGATTTACATGTGATAGCCTAGGCCTGTGCTTGAATTATAAGCCTGCCCATCTAGCCATGTCCCTATACTAACTGAAGTAGACGGAAATGGGTGTGTCTAACAGCAATGAATTGAATACCCATATACTTCGTAACAATAAAGTTAAGACCATATCCTTTATATAAATCCATATAATTCCTCTCTGCAATACTTAAATATTCTACCTATCTCATATCTAACCCATTCACCCCTGAAATATCATAATGAACTATTCCAACCTTTGAATTGGAGGAGCTCAAATGTGTCTTCAGGGGTGAATGAGTTAATGAAAGGTCTTCACTCCATAAACATTCTTCACAATTACTATGGCCCTATTCTGCTTGACTTATGAACTATTATAATGATCCGGGATCCAGTTGTTATAAACTATTTGTGTGACCCTCCTGTTCGACTTGATTATAAGCAATTCACATGGTTCTCGCCAGTTTTCCTGATGTGAACCTTCCGTTCGACTGTTAAACTATTAGCACAATTCGCTCCAGTTAGACTTGAGCAGGTTTTATAATCAGTAGCATTGCTACCACAGGGTTAACATGGAGTTTTATATATATATATATATATGCTATGGATCTCACCTCGGTCACGATGTTTTTTCTCCACCGGGATAACCTTGAAGTCGAGGAACCAGGTCTCGGCCCAGGCCAACACAAAGGAGATGATGAGAACGACATAACTCAGGGGATTGTTATTGTTCTCTTTAAACTGAAAGGAGGACAATGTGAAAAGATGAAAAATATATATCTGGACATAACCTGCTTTGACTCTAAGAGAAGTTTATGAAATGGGAAACAACTAATATGTTGATAAGTAGATTTTTTTTTCCATAAAATATTTACTATTTCACATGACTGCATTCAATTACGAATATCATATCACTTCAAATATAACAAGAGGCCCAGAGGGCCTGTATCGCTCACCTGGATCTTAATGCCCAGCAATGGTTTATATGGCTATGGGTTGGGGATCTCGACCATTTCAAAGTTACGACCCAGAAATTTTAAGTCCCTAGGGGTGGGACAAGACCCAAGGGTCAATTCTACTATATGACTGTTTACCTCTTTATGCCTATCAAACACATCATCTGTTCGGAATAAGATTCATTAGTTTAGTATAAATAATCAACGTTAAGTTTGTTTTGAACACGAACAGGAATTGAAAACTTTATTTTGCAATTTTTCAATTCCTGTTTGAAAGGTGTTCAAAACAAACTAGGCCTTAAACAAGAGGCCCATGGGCCTTAACGGTCACCTGATATATTTATACAGAGAGTTGATTTTGTTTTTAACATGAACAGAAATATTATTCAAAGTGACAAAAAACAATAAAACCACCTTACTCAATATCTAGCATAGAGATTTCAGACTAAAAAGGATTTGAAACTAGCACCTCTGATTCTTAACAAGGAAAATGAAGAAATGTTAGCACACCGACTCCTTTGAGCCCCACCCTACAGCCCTTGGGGGTAGGGCTGGCTCAAAATTTTCAAAGTATCAAACTGTCAATTCAAGGTTATAATTCCAATCAAGTTATTAACATGTAATATTCAAAGTATCATTTGCCATTATAAACCATAATAAAACCCCAGGGGGTAAACGTGAGACTCTTCCATCTATTAAGAGTATTTGATTCTACCATATCTGGGTCTTGAGAAGAAGATTTTTGAAATTTCAGTAAATTCGACCCTTTTTGGCCCCACTCATCGGCCCCTGGGGGTCAGTCAGGGCTGATTTTTGCTTATTACCAAACTGCTACCTAATACTGATAATGCTAACCCAAATTGAATTACTTCCAATGGAAATTAAACAAATGTTGGTCCAAAATGTGATTTCCCTATATAAACTATAGTAAAGTTTACCCCCTCCCCAGGGGGAAACGTGAGACCCCAGGGTCATGAAATTCACAATTTTGGTAAAGCACCTTAAGACCCTTCCATCTATGAAGAGTATTTGATTCTACCATATCTGGGTCTTGAGAAGAAGATTTTTAAAATTTTAGTCAATTTGACCCTTTTTGGCCCCGCCCCTCAGGCCCCTGAGGGCTTGGGACTAAACCGGCCACTATTTTTGTTGACCTTTGTCCATGGAAGGTCCCTGCAAAATTTCATTGAAATTGGTTCAGGGGTTTTGGAGAAGAAGTCGAAAATGTAAATTGTTTACCGACAGACGACGACGGACAAAAGGCGATCGCAATAGGTCACTTGAGACTTTGTCTCAGGTGACCTAAAAACACATGGTTATTGGGTGGGTATCTCAACCATTTCAAAGTTAAGGCTCAGGAATTAATTTAAGTCCCTGGGAGTGGGGCCAGAGTCCAGGGTCAATTCTTGTATCATGATTGTGTTCGTCTTTTGATGCCAAGCAATGGTATATATGGTTATGGGGTGGGGATCTCAACTGTTTCAAAGTTATGACCCAAGAATTAAGTTCCTACAGTCAAGGCCAGACCCTACGTCAATTCTAATATCATGACTGTTCGTCTTTTGATGCCCAGCAATGGTATATACAGAGTTATGGGGTGGGGATCTCAAATGTTTCAAAGTTATGGCTCAGGAAGTAGACCCTAGGGGTGGGGCCAGACACCAGGGTCATTTCTTGTATCACGACTGTGTTTGTCTCTTGATGCTTAGCAATTGTATACATGGTTAAAGGATGGGATTCTTGATAATGTCCAAGTTTGTTTTTTGTGTTTTGAAAGGGAGTTGAAATTCTTCCTTAAAACACTAAGGGATAATTAAACATGTTACGGAAATAATCCCTCACACCAAAAAAAATTGTTTGTGAAATTTTCTTTAAAAAAGTAAGGCATACAAAGGTTTTGTTCATACTTACATCGAATAAAAATGACTTTGCCAAGAGGTAACCACAAGTTAAAAACGTTGTTAGCTGTAACGAAAAATTTGAACAAATTTATAATGATAATAAATTGTTGAATTCAACATTTTCCCTACTGCATTAGACACAAGACATAGTATGGGATTAACTTCTTTTGTTTACCTTGTCAACCTTATGCAAGAGAATAGCACTTTCCTGATACTCTGAATTTATCCAGCAATAAGCCCATGCCTGGTAATAAGCCCACCAATATATATTTGCAATTCAGGAGGAATGCCACCAAGTACAATTTCATCGTCTTTTATAAGCCCATCCCACTTTCTTTGAGTCGAGATTGTGAGTTGGCCCCTGGGCATATTGTAGCATAAATTTCCAAAGACATCATGAAAACTTAAGAATCTTGAAAAATAGATGAAGCTCTCAAATGCTTCTGCATTAAATTTCTTGTAAAAGATTTTTACCAAAGCATATAGTTCACACACATATATATTTACATCTCTTCCTTCTTCAGCTTCGTAAACTCTGATGTGCATCGTAAAATATGTTCCTTGCCAACTGCGTTCATACTAACGTATACGCCGTCAAAATGAAGGTCAATCCTTATATACATTCAACTTCTTGGGCAATTCATTAAGTGAATGTAGCTAATTGTTCTCATGTTACCATGGTCACCACCAAAAGACGGTTCACTCACTATATTTAAGACCTTGTTAACTTGACCTTCAGGTTATTGTCCAAGGACAGCGTTGGAGATACTTACCGCTATGACCCACCAGTGGTCGAGGCGGAATAAGGCATAGCCAAGCAGAAGGAACGAAAACCTCATCGCAGCCAACATCTGACAAGACAAAGGGAGACAATTTAAACCTTTTTTTTTTAGGTAAATGGTAACACATATTTTTATTCTAGTTATTAGCTTTGTAATGTAAAGATAAAGATTGATTTGGAAGATGCGTGAGCTGGTGACATTTTGATTGATAGATCTCTTTGCATACCCTGTACCCTGTGAAACAAACATGTATATCCGTGCAGACATTTTCTTGTTATTTATGTTTACGAAATATTGTATTGACAAAAACAGTCGCAGTCTATAAGCATGTTGATCTTTTTCAGATAAATCATTGCAACATTAACCAAATTTACGTTCATGATCCCATTTCAAGAACGAAACCCTTAAAAAAAAAAAAGGGAAAATGTCTGTAAGACATGAATGCCCCAGCTAAATGTTTACATTGAATCGGGACAGGACTGGACGGGATGGCCATGTTGCTAGCAAAACTGTATGCCCCCCATTTTATGTCGAGGGCATAAAAAGATGTTTTCTTACTGCTTATCCAACACCAACCTGTTAGCTATCTTTCCACACAGGAAAAGTTTATGCTTTGAAGTATTTCAAGATTTCATGCGAGGTTTAAATGATAACAATATTTTCTGTGAAGAAGTTCGAGTGTCTTAAGACTTACAACAGTGTCAAACAGTGACGAATATATCGTAAACCCCGCCAGCTGTTTCGTGAAAGCTTCCCACACTGACGAGTCGCCGATCAACTGTAAATAAATACACACGTCCATCATTATCGTGGAATTTAACCACAAGAATTCTGATCAAGTCGTCAATTTTTCTTGCGATAAAGATTTGATTTAAATTTTGTACGATCCTGCGCAACCGAGACAAGAATAAACATCAATCAACAAACACAAATTTACACAAAATAATCTGTGTTATCGCTTTTTACACAGGTGGTATTTAATAGAGGTATAGTTCACACTGAAATTGCTACAATGAGGAATATTACAAGCGGTCTTTTTACACAGGTGGTCTTTTAATAGAGGTATAGTTCACACTGAAATTGCTACAATGAGGAATATTACAAGTGGTCTTTTTACACAGGAGGTCTTTTAATAGAGGTATAGTTCAGACTGAAAGTGCTATAATGAAGAATATTACAAGTGGTCTTTTTACACAGGTGGTCTTTTAATAGAGGTATAGTTCACAAAGAAATCATTACAATGAGGAATATAACAAGTGGTCTTTTTACACAGGTGGTCTCTTTACACTGTTGGTCTCTTCATAGAGGTGGTTGCATGAACAGGTTTCACTGTATATGCATCCTGAAACTTTATTGTAATTATCCACAGATTTATATCGCCTAAGGTTGAATATGACCTTGTCATGTCGCATCCAGTACTTACTTGTGTATATATGACCCACAAAATAAAGGTCAAAATGAGGTCAAAGGTCACAAACAGACAGAAGGTACGGCGTACGGGAGACATTTTACCACTGTCGGGGAACCAGCCACACATACGATTATCTGTACGACCTATATGTCCAACAGAGCCATTGGCAGCACTGAAATGTTAAAATTAAAGGTCAGGGTTGAAAGGTCAAAGATTCAGTTTTAAATGTCAAGGACAACTGGTATAGTAAATTTCAATGATTGAAATCTATGATGATATCTCATAAGTGCACTGCAACAATGATATTTTTTGTAAAAACACAAAATAACTAAAATTTGGTTTTGAATTAATTAATTAGAAATAATAATAATTTAAAAATAACTTCAATTCAAGAAAACTGTGATACAGAAAACAAATTTCTGAAAAACAACTGGAAGAATCCAGAGTATGTACAGCAGTATCTAGGTATTGCATTTAACCAATTCTAACTGTTCTGTGTATACTAGAAACATTAAAATCCAATAGATATGAATTTACTGGCACAGGGTGAATATTTGAAATTAAATTATGACGTATGCACATACTGTACAACATATGTTCTTGCCATTTTGATGAATAATGTCACATGTAGAGTGATTATTTTGATATTTTTTAAGCGTAAGTAGGACAAGTGGAAATATGAAAAATATTCAACACACAAGTGACATATATATATATATATATGTTATACATCAAGAAATCAAGATTATTTTGTTCAGTACATTTTTCTTTATAAAACATGGGCTGCTGTGTACAGACGGCCCATCCACCTTCAAAACATGTGTAGACGGGGAATGTTGTATTTTATTATATCACTATTGACAATGCCTGTTTGTTATTTTTCACACTAAACCCTGCTCTCTGATTGGCTGGTTTAGTATGAAAATAACAAGAGGCCCAATGGGCCTGCATCGCTCACCTGGTATAAATCTCACACTTGTAACCTTAAATTCAGAAGAGTTCGATTAAAGATTTTAAACAAATTTGACCCCTGTGACCTTGAATATAAGTCAAAGTCATTCACTTTAACAAACATAGTAGTCCTTGATCCCAGCATGCTACTGACTAAATATCAACATCCTAAGCCTTTTGGTTATTCAGAACAAGTTTTTTTTTTTTTTTTTATATTTTGACCATATTTGCTCCTTGTGACCTTGAATATGATTCAAGGTCATACATTTAAACAAACTTGGTAGCCCTTGATCCTAGTATGCTACTGACTAAATATCATCACCCTGGGCATTTT